CGGTGGACAGCTGATAATCACGACCGGATAACGTGCTAATTCACGGTAAATGAATAGTGCGCTATTACGGGCCGTGTCAAAGCGTGAAAAGTTATTGGAATGTTTCAATTTCTTATTTTAATGAAATTTAAAATTACTGTCTAGCTGACCCATAAATTCCTCAATATTTTAAAATAAATATATTTTATTATACATGTTAACATTCAAAAAAATCTTTTATTTCATAATGAAAAAATATACAACATATAATCCAACCCTCTTAAGATAGTTGGCATGTTTTAACGCAATCTTTATAATTTCTAATGTTCTTCTCGACGGATTTGAAAAAGACTAATATACATGCCAAAGGAGCAGTAAATCTTTAAAATGATGTGAACACTAATGCTAACAAATTTATTTTAAAAATTACATAAGATAAACTTTTTTTTGTATTTTATGAGACTCCCTATTTAATTGTTTTATTTAGACATTCTTATTAAAATTTTACCTGATGAATCAGAATTTTCATTTTCTAAAAAAAAAAAAGTTATGCTGAAATAATGTTATTTAATAAACAAATACTTTGACAAAATGTTGAAAATATTAAATTTCAAAAAATTTGTAAACGTATATTTGAATTTAATAAACGTAATGAATAATTATAGCAAAAATATTCATCATCATTATTGTTTTTAGATAAACATAAAATTAAAAAACATAAATAACTTCAAATTTTTTATTATGTGTTTTATTCAAAAATGTAATCAAGTGAAACATTAATTTTAAAATAACCTTAAGTCATTAACTGTTTGATTAATTTACATATGTATCATTAATTAGGTATTTAGTATCAATTAATATTTAATGCTAGTGTGGCATTATTTGGTTCAATTTTAAAAAACACTGTTATGTTTTCTGGTATTAATTTGTTTTCACGCAAAATTTAGTTTCTGCATCAAGATAAAATCTGTTATTGTTTATTTTTAAATTGGCATAGTATAATATTATACAATAATAAATCGCTTGAATTGAATATTAGACTTATTAGATATTTTTATGTACAAGTATGAAAAATGTATATTACTGTTACCCAAGTAGTAAATATTATTTGAATTGCTGGTTTCTAAAAAATGTATAAGTTTAAATAATTAAAATAAATATTTTTATAATAGAATTATTTTAATGCAACGAGTCAACTTATAAACAAAGTATCTTAGATTTAACTGACAACTCTTATAATTTTTAAACAATTCAATTTATATAGTCATCATTTTAAGGGATTATGAGATGTACATTTATTCTAAATATTAACATTATAATAAAAAAATACAAAAAAAATTTCAAGTATAATTATTTGGTATTTTTGTAATTTATAACATAATTATGGATATTTAAAAAAAAAATTTAAAAATAAATTTAAGTGTATAATATTTTCGTGTATCAACATTAATTGTCTTGGGTTGAATAATATTCATATTTTATGAAATAAATAAAACATGAAATTTTTTTTGATGTAATGATTCTAAAAATAATTCTAACCAAGTATGTATTTGTCAATAAAATACCTGATGGTAGCTTTTTATCTGAAATTATGTATAATAAACTAAAATAGTTAATATCATAATATTTCGCAAATATTGAAAAATAAATAAATTATTATAAAATATTTTCCCTATTTTATTTTTTTCATAGCAAATGCCAAATTACCTTGTTTAATTACTAGACAAAAATATTTAAGAAGCTTCGATAGTTTCCCTTAAAAAAAAGTATGATAAATGCTTAAATCAGAAGAAATTATAAAATTATATTAAATTTCATAGGCAGTAACGTAAATAACAATTTTAATTTAAGATGTATTTATGAGAAGGTATTGATTTTGAAATTATTCACTCCAAAAAATTAAAAGATTTTTAAACAACATTTGTTCATGTTTTGATTATAATATATAAAATAATGAAGTTTCAACATTTATTTAAGTTATTAAAGACTATTTTTTATATATTTTATGATCTTCTAAAGAGTGTTATTTGTATGATTCAATAATAATAATAATAAGACATTGAATTAAAAAAATGTATTCGATTAAAAACATCTTACATACATATTATTGTTCAACTTATTGAAAAAATACTTAATGAACGTCTTTAAAAATAAAATATATTTAAACATGAATGAGATATATAAAAAATTAATTAAAAAAAATTATATTTTTTTGGAAATTTCTCTCTTTTACAAGG